GGGTGGCTCCTACATGCCAGAATTTTTACTAAGCTTTTCATATGTGTTATAATTTCACTTAATTCTCAAAAGAATCCGTATAGTAATGCAGTAGGCTACACTTGTATATGTACTCGTCAACGTGTGCAGTCTGTGTGTGTTTGTGTGTGTGTACATGGAGGTGCGAGGAAGTAAAATAAATGCAGACACATGGGATTCCGATAAGGTTTCCGTAATGCTCTCCGCAAAGCATATTTCAGTCTGCATGAAATGACATCATCAGATGCTTAGTCTTTCCTGGTTTCTCAACACCCTCCCCAAATTTACCCCGACCCTCTCCCAGTTTCTTAAGACAAGCAAATGTATGTCTTAGTAAAATGAGTAGACTTTCACGTGCGGCTATCTCGGAGTCCCTTTCCCACGCTGGACAGGAGAGGATGAAAGATACAGACTCCTGCCTATGTGACCTATGTCTGAGGTTCTAGCCACACCCGTACGTATATCCAAGGTCATGAAAGCCTCCATTAAAACCCCACGAAATCTCATGAGTAAGAACTTCTCAATTTCTTGAACACTAACCTTGTTCCAGGTGCTGCAAATGCTCATGACTATTAACCTATGTGATCACTGTATCCAAGGTAGACACTGTCGTACCAGGGCTTTACAGATGAGAAAAAGGAAGGACACACTGGTTCACCGTCCCTCAGCAGTGAAGGGAAGAGCTGTGACTGGAACTCGGGCTGTCTGGCTCTGGGGCTCACAGGTCTCACCACTGGTCTTCTCCCTATTGGGTTCTCGCTTTCACCTCATGAGTTTTCTGCAGCTTCTGCCAATGAGTACAGGGAAGGCGGTGGTGTGGAGCAGACGGTTTCTGGTCTTCTTGTCCGCTCTTCTGCTTCTTGCACATGCACAGAGTACTTCTATTTTTTGCCAAGTCATCTGCATGGGAAAAGCAGTTTCTGATACAACTTCCACAGAGATTACGCCCTGAAAGTAGACTTCAGGGTCTCAGGGAGATGTCGCACTAGGCAATTCACACAGCATGCAAATACTTAATGCTTTCCTGCTGGGTTCTAGGAACTGTTATAGGAACTTGGGGAGCACTGGTGAATAAAGAGACAAAATACTTGCCCTTATGATCTTTTCTATGTCTGTAATCTTCTTCTGTATTTTATATAGATTGATTTGTATTATATTTTTAGATTCCACACATAAGTGATACCATACAGTGTTTGTCCTTCTCTGTCTGACTTGTCACTAAGTAGAATATTCTCTAGGTCCATCCACTTTACTGAAAATAGCAACATTTCATTCTTTTTTATGCCTCAGTAGTACTCCATTGTGTTTGCATCTGTGTGTGTATAGATATATGCCACACTTCTTTATCCAGTCATCTGTCGATGGACATTTAGGTTACTCCCCTCTCTTGGCTATGTAAATAGTCCTGCTATGAATACTGGGGTGCATGTATCTTTTTGCATTAGGGTCTTCTCTGCCACTAAATTTTTGATAATATATTACAACAACCTTAGCTAACTAATATAACCTGATTAAACATTGGGAAAAAATCCCATGGGGACTTGAAACAATGTTTTATTTCCCTTATAAACTACATGTCCATTGTGGGTCAGGAGCTCTCAACATCACAGTTACTCAAGTACCCAGGATGATGGAGCCGATCCCATCATGAGTGTGTGGATCTCTGTGGAATAGGGAAGTTGATCCTTAAAGGTTCTTGCAGTTAAATGCATAACCACAAAATACATCCATCACTGCTGCTCACCTCTCTGTGGTCGAAAGAAGTCTCATAGCCCCTCCCAATGCAAAGGTCCAGAAGTACAACCCACCATGAGGCCAGGAAGCAGACAGACAGAAATATCTGGTAAAGCAAGACATTTGCAGACAGGACTCAGGCACTCAGACCTGCTCTCTGCTGTGCCATTCACCCTCTCTGTGCCTCAGTTTCCTCGTTTGTGTTGGAGTCTCACATTACAGGCTCTTCGTGAGGGACTATGCAACGGTAGCTGCACTGGGCTGAGGTCAAGGCTGGCCTACAGTGCTCTTTGTCAGTAAAAGCTGCTGTTGGTAAACACATGAGAAAACCTACCTGATCACATGAGGAGGAATGAATAACTGCTCTGTGTTTCCCTCCAGGAGTGGTGGCTCAGGAGCTGCAGGTGACTCAGCCTGAGACATCAGTGTCGGTTGCAGCTGGAGAGACGGCCACTCTGCGCTGCACCATGACCTCCCTGCTCCCCGTGGGGCCCATCAAGTGGTTCAGGGGCACAGGGCCAGGCCGGGAGTTAATCTACGATTTCAAAGGCGGCCACTTCCCCCGAGTAACAAATGCTTCAGACTTCACAAGGAGAGACAACCTGGACTTTTCCATCCGCATCAGTAACATCACCCCGGCAGACGCCGGTGCCTACTACTGCGTGAAGTTCCAGAGAGGATTACCTGGTGACACGGAGTATAAGTCTGGACCAGGCACTCGGCTCACTGTGAGTGGTGAGTACACGTGGGCCTCTCGTCCCCTGCTCTGTGACAACGAGTCAACAAAACGCCCTCCTGTCTTTGAGGAAAAGTAAGAATCAGGTGCAGCAGTGGGTGCTTTATCATGACTGGGTCATGATCTGATTTCCGTCCTGTCTACACATCAGGGAAGTTGAGGCCTGGAGAGGTCGTGCTATTTGCTCAAGGCCCCACGGATGGTAACTGGTATGAAAAGTCTGGAAGCCCAGGCTGCCTGGCTCCACATACCTTGTCTTTTCAATCCCTTCCA